TATTTTAAATAAAGAGTGGATAAAAGAAAAGGGAAGCTGATTTTGAAGCAATGATCAAGAGCCAACAGAACTTACTTCTTCCCCAGCTCCACCACTGAAGACTACCTTTACAGCTTTGAACAAACCATGTAAGTTGGATGCCTTCATCTGTAAAATGTATTTATGTGCATGAGATGTGATAGCAAAAACTTCTTGGTACTTAACCTAAAATGCAGCACCCACAGACAATGCCCATTTCAAAGACTGTGCTAAAACATCAGGTAAAGGCTCTATCCAGCTGCATCCTTGCAAAACTTTTACTTAACTCAGTCATTTGCCATCACAGCTGGCCAATTTTCCAGCGTCTATTCGCTGTCACCACAATCAACTCAGTTCTCACGAGTTTTCAGGCCTTTAAATGTGCAGTTCTCACCATCTTTATGCGTATTATTTTGCATTTGGATTATAGTTTCTTTACACGGCAGTAAGGCTGGTGGCTAAATTCTTAAAATCATATCATTCAAATCCTTGCACCACACTGTTCTGATTGAATATTTATTAAGCAGATAGGACCTACATTTTGGACTTCTAACTACTAGAAGTCATCAGGTTTATTGTACCCTAATTTCATTTTTTTGGCCATGATTTTTTAATTGCATACCTTTTTCTTGAAGTAAGTATTCCATTATAAGCTATTCACAAGTAAATATTTTAAAATTGCTTTCATTTTAAACATCGCAATTATTGGCCTGCATTAATTTTTTTTTCTCCCTGATGAACATCTGTTTTAATACCCTTAATTAGAAGTAGTAAATAACATCATTACTTTTCTCCTTATTAGCATTTATTAGCTTTAGTTCTTTTGTAGCAGTCAAGTGTACGATGAGGAAGCATTATCTTTATCACAAACAACCAAGCATATTAGACTCAAAATTCAGATAATACAGTTTGTTTGGAAGATGAGAGACTGAAATCACAAACACAGGCCCTGAATGAAGCAAAGAGGATTTGCTTTGATGGAAGAGGAAACTTTTCTTTTCCTCATTTTTATTCTCCTTAATTTACCTTATTTTGAAAGTTTAAGAATTTTTGAGGTACTTTGCAAAAAAGATGAATTTGAACTTCAGAGTTCAACTTCAGAGACAAGCCTGATGTTTCAATTCTTGATCTCCATGCACCAGAACCTTGCCTATATTCACAGTCTTGGCAACATTTGAATCCGAACCCAAATCCTAGGCCTGTTTGGAATTTAACTGGAATCTTTACTGTTTCATAATGTAATTTTCCAGACAGACGCATTCAAAATAAGTACATAAATAAAAACAGATGTCCAAACCCCTAATCAAACCTGTACTGCACAAGGAAATGGATCAGCAAGTTAAGAAACCATCAGCAATGGCTTTATCTCCTTTCTTCATTTCTCTGGTGCACAATTTATGGGATTTAAACTATCTGCTTAGACAGCTATTCGCAGACATTGCGTATGACTTTCTGAATTTCCCAGTCCAACTACAGATCTATAAACTACATTTGCCTCATGTCTAAATGCCTTCCTTGTTGATGACTGCAACCTTGAAACAAAATCAGTAAGATCTCTGCCTGAATAAGTGTGAGAACTTCTCTTGTAAATCTTTCAGCCCAGCTGATGGTAGAGCGCACCGTTAAATCTTGGTCCACATATATTTCAGTTGGCATGCAATACATTTTTTTTAAAAGGAAAAAGTGAACAGATACTTGTGTAATTCTTAATGACTGATGAATCTACTATTGCATAGAAAAAACAATGTCACTTTTGAAAATAACTGAGCTCTACTGTCACAATATCTGTTTCTTCTTTGAATTGTCTTCTTGATTTATATTGTTATTTTCCTCTGGTCTTTTTTGTTGTTCTGTTTTTAGTGGTGGTGCATTTTTTTTTTTATTTTTTTTCTTTCGGTGAAAAATATTTTCCTGATTGAAATACACGTTGTTGTATTTTGTCTGTAAAAGAAATCTAGAAAATCAAGCCCGCAGACCATGGGCACTCTATGACATTTTCTCTTAGGCAAGCAACATAAATTATTTAACCTCTAATAACATTAAGATTTCATGATGCTTGTGTAAGATGAAAAAGTGAAGACTTTCAGATACTAAATGCTTTATTACAATCTGTAATCTTGTAAGGATGACTGATTTATTTAATGCGCAAATCTTGAGTGTGTGGTAATATAGAGACAATATATTTAGGACTATATTCTGTCAAGTGCTGAGCAGTGGTCTCAGTCTTTATAAAGGCTTATCTTTAAGCACGCAAATGGTTGCTCTGATTTTAATGGTACTTTTAACATGTTTTTAAATGCCTTCACAAATAAGAATCTCAATTTTCCCTACCTTGCAAAACCGAGCTAAATAGCAGGTTTATTAATACTTAATACCCACCTCCTAGATACACATCACAATGGAAAGTGTGGATTACAGTAAAGCTATTAAGAAACAAGTCTAAACCCCCAAGCCTCAGTCAAAAGATAAAGAGCAAGGTTACAACGGCTGATACTCCCTATCAAATAGCTGCTCCCATGAGGCAGTAGCTACTCTCTCCAGTCTTTACCATTCATAACTCAAAGGGATGAGGCGACCAGACACAAGATGCCATTAACTTGGAAAGCAAGGTGAAATACTTTAGCTAGCATGTATTATCCAAACAGCAAGGGAGAATTTGCTAGAGAGGAACGTGTGTAGAACACACAGGGCTTTACACAAGACTTGTGATTAATTTCTAAACTTCAGAAATGAAAAAATTCACGTATCACACTGAGCTGTGGTTCAGAGAACAGTTTAAATTTACCACATGAAACACTGGTAACTTAAAGAGTCCCCCGTCCCAATTCTGAGAACACCTGAGATTTAAAAAGCATGGGAAGAACTCACTTTTTGCAAGGTCTCAGAACTTCTACACAGGTTGGATGTCTACATGCCTCTAGGATGGTCAAGTATTCTGTTTTGACAGTGTTAAAATATCTCAATTCAGTGCTATATTTGGTTTTCTTCTGTTGCAGAATGTTAACAGAAAATGAGAATTCTTCCAAAAATTACTAAACAAAGGTATCCGCTAAAAAAAAAATTTCACAAAATCTTAAGTGTCATAGTTTGTGAACTCATTTAAATGACAGTCTTACAGCTTTGTATAATGTCTGAGAGATGGTCTTACTACTAACTTTTAGGTTGCATCCTTTTGGATAATGGGTATTGTCTAGCATTTACCATATAAACCACTGCTGCACATTGGCAATGAGCTAATGTGGGCTCACAGCCTTTTCTGGATCTTAATGCAACCGTACTTATGGCTGTGAGTCACACCCACTTGGTTCATGTTATAAAGTGAGAACAGGTCAATTTTCCAAGTCCGGATTAGATAAATTCCATTGATCTGGGGCCTTCCCAAGACATTACAGGACTCGAGTATATGATCTGTCTTTGGAGCCAAAGCCTACCAGAGATTTCTGTTGGGATCAGTGCCCTGATGAACCAAACTAAACTTACTCCATGTATGACCACTGAGATGTAATGGATACCCCTGTTTAACAATCATCACTGGAATAGAAAAATAACTCTTCTGGGCTGGGAAATACTGCAAGCAGCAGAACCTGGGATGATGCCATAGTAATCGCTACAGGATACACAGCAACACCACAGGATACAGCAAGACTGAAAAATGAATGCTGCGTGTAGAAGGCAGCATTCAAAATGCTCACCTTCTGTGTACTAATAACTCTTCCAGTACTGTCAGAAACATAATGCCATTCCTGTCACCTTCTGTGACAGAAACTATTACTAAAGTGAGATATTTTAGGAACACCAGCTTTAAAGAAGGTAACTTTCCTGTCTCAGGGAGATGACACTGATCTTATTAAAAAAACAGTAGCACAAACATTACATAACTTGTAATAAGAGATTGGGTTAACTTGCTACAAACAGATTTTGACAGCCTAAAATTACAAATGAGAACAATCATGTTTTTAAAGTCACTCTGTAACAAAATTTTGCATCTTCATAGTCTCTATTTTCTGTTTTGTAAAGGAACAAAATTAATTCATTTTTCAAATAACTATAGACTTACTGCAAAAATCACAACACTAACTTTCAGACCAAGACACGCTAAAAGAATGAGACCTGTGTTGGGTAGCTAGAATTAAAAATCGATTTTGCTTCTCAACAGGTTTCAGATTCAACTCTGTAATTTGGGACCACATCTACATCTTTGCAGCCTGGGAATCCTGAGTGAAATTCTGTATTTGCAAAATGATTTTACTGCTACTAAAAACAATCAAGTCCTACACTTCAGGAAAGATGTGATGTTAATGCTTGAAAATCATAAAAGCTCTGCAAGCTCTCAGAAGTATGGAGCAGGTACTGTGCGAGCAATAGTCTGCCATGGTGAATGTAGCCAAAAAGTAAGATAAAATCAATGATCAGATTTGGACAGGGAATTAGCTCTGCAGAAGTTATGTCTAAGTTTTCCCATGAGTTTAATTAGAAACAGAAGAGAAAAATCCTCGCATGGATGCACGTAAGCTTAATACCAACAAGAAATCCTGACAGGTAAGCTTTGAAAATGCCTGTGGACACTTTTTTTTTCTAGACTAATTATAAACTCTATTTATTAAAAAACAAGCAAACAAAAATAAAATAAATCCTACCCCAACAACTGATAAAGATCCTAACTTGTTAGACAAAGCAGTGACAGTGTATAAAAGCCAGGTATTTTTATATTTTTCGCAGTTCAGAATGCTGGAACAAAATTCCATAAGATGTATTAGAGATTAATGCACCTTAGGAGTGAATTTTCAACTATAAAATAACTGCAGAAGTTGTCGTACATGTCAATGAGAAATGTGCCACAATTTTCGTTTATTATACTGGTTTTATAACTGCCATTTAATGGGCTTTACAAGAATTTCAAAAAACCTTTACTCCATTTTTTATTTTTTATTTTATTTATTTATTTATTTATTTATTACAATTCACACATAATTCCCTAACTATTCCCTGAATTTGAGCTGTAAATTAAATTCTCATTTCAAGTAGGCAGTACAACATTATGACACTGGCCGTGGGCTATTTAAAATGAAGGACAACTGTGGCTTATCAGAAAACACAAGTTTTAACGGTATCTCTCAATACATAATTTTATGCATATCTACAGCTCTTATTCCGGTAACATTTGAAGGACTGATAATTAAGCAGATTTCTTCCCCCTCTGGATCACCTCTACAAAACAAGGATGAACTCCCCCGCCCCTGGTTTTAAAGTAACAATATGCATCCAGGAATGCCTTCCTTCCTTATTCTACTGATAAAGATATAAAGACCTGGAAAGATAAATGACTTGTGCAAGTTATTCAGCAGGTCTGCAGTTGAGCTAGAAATGAATGCCAGATTGCTATAAACCTTTACACTGCTCTAATTAGATTTTTACATGTGTTATAGGTTATATTATTTTTAATCAATTTTTTATGCTGCTGAAACCCTCCTCAGAGGCCCTAAACTACATAACAGGACAGCCTCAGTCACCAGAAAGCCTGAATAGCGGTGCCTGTAATACCATAATACTAATTTTTCCAGTTGCAGCCTTATTTCATTAACCCACAGTTTGATGCAAGCTCTCAAATTCTACAAAGTATTGGGAGAAATAAAGCTTTCCAGGTTCACATACCTTCTTGAAATTTCTGCTTTGAGACCTACCTTACCAGCCAGAATATAAAATACTTTATTACAGAAATTCTAGCAGGTAGATTTGAAAATGAAGAGGTGCTAAAATAATACTTGTATTTTTTGTGATGGTTCAAAGGGCAAAAAGAAGTGAAGGATTTATGAGTAAAAGGAGGTTGACCCTTTAAAAAATTTCTGAAAACACAGAATCGGAGTATAAGCTACCACTGGCCCTTGTGGCAGAAAATGACTAAGAGCACCTGAAACTATGTTAGGAAAAGCATTGCCAGCCGGTAGAGGGAAACAATTATTCCCCTCTACCCACTGGGGAGAACACATCTGGAGCACTGTGTCCCCAGCTGAGCAACCCAGTACATGACAGACACGGACAGACTGGAGTCCAGCAAATGGTCCTGAAGATAGTTGAGAGCTTGGAGTATCTGACACATGCAGAGAGGCCGAGAACTGGCACTGAGAGCCTGAGGAAGAGAAGGCTTAGTGGGATTTTATGAAGATGTATAAAAAATGTATAAATCCCTGAGAGGAGACTGTGAAGAAAATGGAGCCATGCTATTCTCAGTGGTATTCAGTCAATCGAGAGGAGACAAACTATTATACAGGAAATTCTGCTAAAACATTTGTCTTTTATACATATATAATTATTACAGTGAAGGTGGCCAAGCACTGGAACAGGCTGCTCAGGAAGGTACTTTGATCTCCATTTCTGGAGATACACAAAACAAAACTGCACACGGTCCTCAGCAACCTGCTCCAAGCAGGGCATTGGACCACTGAGTCTTCAGAGGTTCCTTCCAGCCTCAGCAATTCCATGAAGAGGTACTTAGCAAAATTCCAAGATCTACACATTATGAAGGATGTCAGGGATGGAAACAATGTATTCAATTCCGATGGGACCCTTAATCCAAAAATAGTCCCAAGGTGCTTTACAAACACCACAATGTATGAAACACTTCACGAGCTACTGAAATGCAGCCAACTCTGGGGTGAAATGTAGAACAGTTTAATAGCTTCCAGCAAACAGAAAAAAAAAATCAGTAAAAGCCAAAGAATGCCATATGCAACTGAAGCTACAAGGGGAATTAGGTAGAAAGAATGTAATTATCCATGCTGAATTCTAGCCAGAGCTAAAAGTAATCAGAAAGTCAGTGAAAGACCAGAACAAATTGATCTCATTACTCTTGCATTACTTGGATCTACTTCTAAATGGAAAACTCTTATCTGAGTCTACTGGACTGACACTAGTGTGTACATGGAGGTGTGTTCAAAAAGAACACAGGAGTTAAGGAAACAGAAAGCTGATAACATCTCTGTGCAGAGTGCCAGCCTGGATCTTACCTCTCATTCAGGACTCATTAAGAACCACTGAGACTTGACTTTCTCTCTCCTATGTCCAACAGGATTTTGACTTCAGTGGAGCCACAACTTCTGAAATTTGGTAGTGAAATGGGAAGAATCACATGCAAAATAATGGTAAGCCAATTAATAAATATTATTCACAACTTGCTACCTAACACCAGAAATTTGCATGCAATGTGATGAACGCATACAAAGCCAGTATAAAAATTGATTTTAAGAAGATATCAACTAAACTAGTTACAGAAGACCACAACTCTTCAAAGCCAAAAGTACTTTTAGATAGGATTGATCTTTTACCCATTATCAGGCTTCTAGCAATGAATATCCTATTATTTCAGCAGTGAAGCCTTGTATCTGACAAACAGCTAGCACTGTGCTACAAGGAGAGATAATAAATGGGAAATAGGCAGGACTAAGTAAGAAAAGGACAAAAACGATATAAATAGTGATTTGTTTCTTAAGAAAATACCTTAACACATTGGTTCTCAAGTAGCACTAGGGAAGCAAAAACTTTTTCCAGTAGACGGATTTATCTTTTATACTACTACTTTCACTTCATATGAGTGAAGAATCTTTCAATAAACACAAACATGAATCTCTGACAGTACAAGCACCCACCTCCTGTTTGTAAATGACCAAAAGCAAAGACCAAAATCTGGTCTGGCTTCGGGCCATTCCCAAGCCACATATAACTACGCATCCACCTTTGTACAAAGCCCTAACACCTGCTGCTGAAGAGGAATGAGTCTGATGTTCTGGTAATTGTAGCAGCTCCTTTACTACAGAGGTGTTTCATCAAGAAGACACTCCTATATTTTAAGTGAGAATTACACGCCCTTCTTAAATAACTACATGAAAAATGAATTAATATTTGGATAAGCCATGCCAATGATTAATTACCTGCACTGTTAAAAAGCTGGCCTTTTATTTCCAACTTGAAGGCATGCAACTCTCATTTTCAGACACTGGATCATGTTATGTTATTGCTGGCTAAATTAAAGAGTCTTTGAGCGGAATAAACATCATTAACCAGCCCTTCCAGGAGCCTAGGGGTATGTATACAGTCTTCAGTGCGGTGTGTGTAGGCACATCTGCACAGACTTCAAATGAACCAGTTAGGAAATAATAGCAACCGTGACAAGGAGCTGAGCAGGGTCTGAATGAGCTCTCCAGGACTTCAGGATGCAACCCCGTCAGCAACCACGCTGTGTCTGTGCTGAGACGCTTTCACTGCCAGATTAAAGTAGGTCTGGGCACTGTCCCTGAGGAAGCAAACAAATCTTCAAATTTCAGAGCAGCCTTATGCCAAGAAGGCTAGCCACCCACATCTCACTGACTTCCATGTCACTTGAAAACCAATGAAACACAGAAAATGACCCTATTAGTAATTCATCAACAGTAGCTCTCTCTTTCAGAACAACCTGCAGCCATTTGGGAATGTGACATTGCAGTGATGCTGGGATGTGCCAGATGGGAGTCGTGGGGGACAAAAACACCAGGTAGTGTCTTCAAAAGGGGAATAGCTTCTGTCTGCAATAGTGCTGTATGTAGAGGAACTCCTGATGTTGTATGCAAAGCTGTCAGCAAGGGATGCTTCCTTCCTCAAACCCCAAGCAATGTGACCGACCAGAAGATTTGGCCAGCAGGTCCCTGTTGTGACACGCTGGGGGTCAGTGGCTGGCTGCTTCCTCGCATCACCCTGAGTGGTGGGAACAGAACAACTTCCCCATACACTCCCACTTTGAGCTCCCATCATTTCTCTGTATTGACTACGACTCTTTACACTCCATCACAAATATTAATTAATTTGTAGCTGTGTGCACGTGTATTTATGCCACACAAGCTCTCTATCGCAGACACGTCTATATTCTCTGGGAATATCAGCAAAACAATGTTCCACAACATGATTAGAGACGTAATTCCTAAACGGGTGTTGCAAGCCCACTGCAGCTAATGGAGTTACCCACAACGCACAGACAAATCGGGTCTCCGCTGGGCGTTGGCAATTGCCTCATTAAGTACAAGCTTTTAGCTACTCCAGGATTACGTAGAAGAAAAATCAACAAGCTTTCTCTAGAGTATTAAGAAGAAAACAGAGTAGAAGACAAAGAATAAAAGAAAAAAGAATGTAAAATTAAAAATAAAAGAAAATCAATCTTCCTTTCTTTTTGCCATTTCATTTATTGATTTCAGCTTCACCACTAAAATAACACAGCAAAAGGACTGTTAGAGAAAACATGGGTGTATTAAATAGATTTTAAAAGATCCAGGTGATAAAAGTGATTAGATAAACTACACAGATGAATCAAATGGTTACACGACTAATCCTGCTCACCAGATCTACTTTCCAGGGATCCAGTGAATGGCTTTCTACTAGAATTTGAATTCATCCTGGAGATTTCTCAGAATCTGCCATATACGACAGAACTACAGTGTACCCACTTGTACTGCGGCAGGTGCACTTTACCCTTCCCCCCCCCAACCTTCCCTCTTTGAAAGAGCATGCTCCAGTACCGAAATCACATCAACTAATAACACACCTTTTGCCCACAACTATCAGACAGAGTTAAGTTATAAGTAAATCTTTCTTTATGTTTCATCAGGAAAATACCTCAGATTTCTTGCTCTTATTGCAAGCCACTGAATGGGCTTCACTCCCCCTTTCTGTCAGACTTCTGACTTGTTCACATGATGAACTTGTTCTTTGGCAACACACTGACACAATAGTCACACCATGTAGAGTCACACAACAGCCCTGTTCCCAGTCCCTGGCATCAAGCTCCTGAAGGTCACTGCTACCAGACTATCCCAGTGCTCCTTATCTTCTAGGACATCTCCTGAAGCTACAAGTTGCAGCTTCAAGGACTTGAAACCTACTGTAGGCTGTGCTATGGGCAGAACTGGTGACTTTTCCACCCTGAGCCATTTAAATTCTCCTTTTCTGGGTCACATAAAGAATGTGTTTTGGCCAGCTGCAAGAACTGGATTCAGGCCAGTGTGCTTACTGTGTGGGCTGTGTTAAGATTTATGACATCCCTTAAGTAATCATTTTCTAGCTGTTAACTTCCTGAGATTTGTAAATAACATGGCAGATCAGTACGCTGCAGTCACTTAGTAACTTAAATGATTTTTAAAACAAAAGTTATCTGGGTTTGGAAAAGACGACGATGTCTGCCTATATCTTCATGGTAGAAAGAAATATATGTTCCTGTGACAGCTAGGAAAAGAAACATCTTCCAATAAAAGAGCAATTTGGTGGATCAATTCATTTTCCAAACGTGCTATACGAACCACTAGTTAGACAACCCTGTCAACAAGACAACACCTGCAGCTCCCAAGGCTTCCCTTTTGTTATCCACTTGTTGAGGAATGCTACATACAATACCTGTACTTTACGAAAAGGTTTTCAAGTGACTGACAAAATGACTGATGTTTGTTTTCTTAGAAAAGCTGTTTACAATCACTGTAAAGAAACACAGTCAGGACATGTTCTGTACATCATTTCCAAGGGATAGCTTAATTTCTCTGTTTTGGATTTGATTCATGGCCATTCAGGAGAACCTGCCTTGCTTAATCAAGGGACTTCTCATCAAACCTTCTGCTGTTTCCTCTTGTGTCTTTATAGTTTTACAAATACAAAACGAACAGCACCATCGTTTTTTGCTGCATCCAAACATAAACTCCACTCCAAAATACATTATCGCTAATGTAGCGTATTACCCACCTTGTGTCCCAAGTCTATTTTTAAAAATGATTTATGGACAAAAATCGACACACGTAATTAGTCTAATTTGAGTATTCCATGGTAAATGTTATTATAGAACTCTGCTCTAAATTAAACAAAATTAAATGCTGATAAAAATTTACTATCCTGCATTCCCCAAATGAGTCTATGGTTTAACGGGAGATATCATGTAAAAACCATTAGTTTAAAACTGAACGAATCTCATTCTTACACTATTAATTTTAGTCCTTTAGTTTTATACTTCAGGTTTCTGCAGATTATGCTTAATTAAATTTTTATAATGATGTTTAAATTAGCTGTTCTATATGTGATAAGAATACCTTGACAGATATGTTTCTAATTTGACCTACAGGATTTAATTTCAGGAAGTTGTACTTAGTCTGATGTCTGCTTGCATCTTTCCTTCCCTGCCTGACTTCCTCTGAGCCAAACTTATTTCTCATGTCTTTGTGTTCTGAAAGGGCTAATCACTACAGGCCTTCAGCTCCAATCATTGCCACATGCATTTATTTGGATTTATGAACAGCATTAGAGGAAATTTGTTTTAAAAAAGTTTAGACAAGAAACACAATAAAAAAATGCAATGTTACAAGTATCTCCAGCTCTAACATAAAAATCACCATATACTGAACAGACAATTATCTTCTAGTGATGTCTTTTTATGTTTCTAAGTAGTAAGAACAGCTTAGGTGCACTCAAGGAGCACAACTTTGGTCACAAAGCGCATGGATTGGAACAATGCTCTTCAAAACGCATGAAAATTAAGGACAGAACTTCTATGCATACACCAAGTTTGTTCAGTCCACACCTGACCGATATTTTCCAAGAGAACTCACTTACCTTCTATCTTTTCAACTATAAGAATGCTTTCAACATCAAAAAATAAAAACAGGTCCAACTCTGGGTGATTAAATCCCTAATGTTAATGATTGCAATCAAAGAAACACAGCAAGTATTTGGACAACAGGAGTCTGAATTTGCTTAGACAGAAGCTCTGCGTAAACCGACCTTGCTGATGTACTCACACCCTTCTGTGCAATGAGCCACTCAGGTGGATATTGCATTCTTTCATCATCTGGACCGACAGAAAGTAGCACTGTGAAATCCATTTCTTACCTGAAGTCTCACTGGAAAGGACAGAAGGAAAGTCTTTTTGCCTGGATCCTTGCAAAGGCATTTGGATGCAATCTCAGGTCTGCAAAACGCTCAGGTGCCTTCCCATTTCCTGAAGGAAGTTTTCCACTTACAGTCATGCTTGCTTTGGGGAAATCCTAAAATGTAATAGCAAAAAAAGGGTTAAAAATCATAATCGCAAATCCTTTTATCAAAGGGATTTTCTAGTCTTAAGGTGGAAAATTACTGAGGGTCAGGCTATTTTTGGTTGTTGTTAGGAAAGACTATAAACACCTTGCAGAAACAATTTGAACAGATGCTTGCTTCCCTGCAGTAACTCTCCTTATGCTAGAACCAGAGTCATCTCAAACTTCTTAATTTTGGTAATAACATCACCGAATGGTCTCAAAGTTTGGCCACAATAAAATATTGTTAGAACTGTTTGTCAAAATAATCTGACTAGCACAACTTAAAATAAGAACATCAGTTAGGGAACTGTAACAAATAACCAGAAATGTCAGCTCACCTTTTTCTAGTTTGATGCATTGCATGACCCTTAACATGCCTGATTTGTTTGCAGACTACTTTTTATCCTTCACTTGATTTTTCCTGCAATCCCAAATGGATACTGTTTCCAGCGTACTTCAGCTGCCTGTTTTTTCTTCTTTCTGCTGAGTAGCAACCCAGTTTCAGGTTTAGTAATTTTGGCAAGAGGTACATTCCTAAACATTTGCTGAGTCGTAACCACAAAGTGATTTCTCCAGGATGACTGCAAAATAAATCAGGCAGGACAGTCAGTTGTGTTATTGATAGTGCATCGGTCACTGCATTCCCTGCACATTAAGGCAGCTACTGAAAGAATATGGTCCAAGGTCCCAAAAGCTCATTAATATTTCCACATATGTAATGTCTAAGCGTAGATGTCATATTACGCATCAAGTTCACTTATAAAGTAGTAAACTATTTGTATCGTTTGCAATCAAACCAAGTAATTCAGAGAATATTCAGAATAATTAATAAGACTTTCCTGACCTCATTTTAAAGTATACTGTGAATGGGACTACCATTTATTCTGATCAGAAACATTCCTGTCACATCATCAAAAAATGTATATGGCACACCCATTTACTAAGCAAATCCTTTCAATCATTCATTACTAAACAAAAAAGACCTGCAGACTTGTAGAAAGAGCCAGCAGAAAATCATTGTTATTGTCTAAGAAATATTCTCTAAAACTCTATTCTCAATTGCACTGGTGTAAATTTGTCATAGGTCCATTCACTGTCGCAGTCTCATGATTCTGTCAGCTCACTCTGAGCCTGGCAGAGCCACTGCAAAGCCAAAGTTATTTGCAGTTTCAGATTTATAGTGATGAAACATAGCTGTACTCAGTCTATCAATCATCATTCTTTTGAGATGCAGTAGGCAAACTGAATCATGGCCTCTGTCCTAGACATCACCACTATTTTTTGGTGATCTATGCCATCTTGTCCCTCCTCCAGAAACTTTATAAGAAGGTACAGAAAGGGAAAAATGTGAAGGTCTATTTTTTTTTTCCTCTCAAGACTACTAGAAGTTTCTTAATGGTTCAAAGGATCTGATTTGTAAAATTAATTATCTCACACAGCAAATTGCTGTTATGAAATTTCTGGCTAAGAAAAATTCTAGAGACTTTCCCCAGCCTCAAATACTTTTGATTAAACACCTGCACTAGTCTGTACTTATCTTAAATTTTAACGGTTTTTGTTTTGAAGTTTACTCATCATAAAAATCAGAGGTGAACTTAAGTTATCATAGCCTTAAAAAGACCTGAAATGCCCAAAGCATATTGATACATCAGATGACAGAAAGATGTATTTGTCTATAGTGTTCAAATGAAACTAGATGGGGAAGAAAAAAAAAAAAAAACAACAACACAGCATGCAGGGTAATTCTTGTTCTCTGTTTTGAGATTACAGATGAGAAAAGAAAAAGACATCAATTTATGGACATTCTCAGGATATTTCAACTAGACAAACAGCAATTAAAACATATATGAAATATTAGAGGGATGAAAGCTTGGGTCTGAGAAGTCATTAAGTTCTTATTTGGCTTTACTTAGAGAGTCTGTTCAATAATTAGTACAATTTTTTATATATACAAGAGACATGTATCTCCAGACTTGATGATACATAACTGACCACAGAGCAGAGACTAAAATTACCAAAGCAAGAAAATATATATATATACATATATATGTGCACAGGCTTTATGTGAGAGGTAATATTTCATTTACAGATTTATATCACATCACATTTATGATTCCTAAACTGTTCAAGAGCAAACGGGCAATATCCACAGCAATTTCAAAACGTTCAGATTAATAGCTGTTAAAGGAGATGAGTTTCTTAATACAGAAGTTATAAAATGTGCAGATGGTAGAACTGTGAAAATAATGATCAAAAGGAAAGCAGTGAGAAAGTCCCAAAGCACAGGCTAGTGAGATGCAAGCAAAGCTGACTTTGCAGAAGAGTCATTCAAGAACTCCTGAGCACTTTGGCAGCATGCTTATGAAAGCAGAGAGGCAGAAGCTCGGTCCTGCACTGACAAGGCACAGAACCAGCTCCTACACACTGCAGCAGGCTGGGCTGGAAACAGGGAGTCCTGGTTCAGAATAGCACCTAAGCTTTAGGAAACCTACATCTTTCAGGACAGGTGTGACACTTAATAATGCAACCATGTGGGATTTATGGTGTTTTTTTTTTAGGACATCATAATGTAACCTTTCTGGACAGGTCCCCAAAGTTCAGCCTGGGTCAGCTCTCTTCTTCATCGGGTTCGTTCATCTTCTGTTGGTAATTCAGGGAACATCTGGGGTTTTGCCCTTCCTTTCAGTCCCTATATTATATTTCCTAGTCATCAGCTGAACTGGAACTGAAACTGCACAAGGTGTAACTTTTTCATGTTCATGCATAGGTGGCATTTTTTAATGTATAAAAAGGATAAAATTGCATAAACCCACTGCAAGGTACCAGTCAACCAGCTCACTTTTTTGTTACATCCCACCAGCAAGCACAGCCTGGGAGGAAAGGTGACAGACAGGCTCATGTCAGTCACAGTGCAGCCTGCGAGGGACCTAACCCATTATAAACTCAAAGAGTATTAACAAGATATAAAAAATAAAATGGGTGGGGGAGTGGGAGTGGGAACAGCTCATATGCACCTGAAAGCCAGGAAAAAAAAAAAAAAAAAAAAAGAAAATCATGTGAAACTTCAGATTCCTAAGAAGATAATAAACGGCAGAAGGGGATGACACGACTGTTCACTGATTTTCTGACCAGCACAACAAAGACAAAACCTTCCTTTCTCCTGCCCCCCACTGTATTTTTCCTCCTTTTTTGTCTCCATTTCCTCCAGTGCAAGCTGTGCAGCACTCCCTATGCCGTAAGCAGTCCGCACTAAATGCAGAGAAAAAACCAGCTAATCAGCCAGTTAAAGAAATTACCTCCTCTCCGTCTCACTTGCCACCACGGGAACTCCACACAGAGCCCTGACATTTTTCCATTTTAAGGGAGCAAACACTCCACCTACAAAACCATCATTATCAAACAAGGAGAGACTGAGTTTGCTTATTTGTTAATTACCAGAGCTTCTGACAAAGGAGTATTTCTTCCCTCTCAGAAGTGTTTGCTTTTATGTCTGGAGAAAGAAAATAAAAACAAATTACAAGCACTTATTAATATGTAAAGGTAATTGCTTCATACAGTGCAGGGTGAATAGACAAAACTCAGACCTTCCATTGAAGCTGCAATCCCTGGCAATTGGTAATGCATGCTCAAAGCAAATGGATTAAAAACACTTGTACAGAATGACACCAGAGATTATAACACTTCTACAGACTGATATTTTTCCCTCAAAAGAAAAAAAATAAAAATAAAAAATGCCTACCTGTCAGTACAGTTTTCTTGAAAGCCCCAAACAAAACATTAGCTGGATGTTTATTACAAGTTTGGAAGATCACTTTGGCACATGACAGCTACTTAGTTCAGTGACATCCCTCATCATCACACCAATCCCATGCCAAATGACCATTACAAGAACACAGCAAAAGCTCTGCCCTTTATTTTCTCATATAAACAAAGACAACAGAGAGATACTATTCAAAAGCCCTGAGAGATGTCTCTTGTCACAAACAAACAAAAAAAAAAACAGATATCCACTACAATTATTTCCTGTTTCACTGGCACTGCAAAGAAAAATATTTCTCTGAATTAGCAAACATAACCACAATATACCTCTACAAACATAGCTTCTTAATAGATTTTATAACTTTTATATAACTTTTCTTTGAAAAACAAGAGTTTGGAAGAAAAAGCCACACAAAATCGATATTGGTTGGGATGAAATGCAATTCAACAGTTCTCGCAGGGGCTGTGGGAGGGGGAAGACTTGAAAAACAGAACCAATAGACTAAAAGTTACTGGTTTACTTCTCAGTCTTTTAAAGCAAATACAAGTCAACTGTAATTCATAATCTTCACTAATTTTAGAATTTCTAGAACAATCTGACAGCAAGTTGACAGATACTGTTCACAATCATCATTTAGATAACATCATAGTTCTGATAAACATTTTGGAAACCAACATGATTTATAACTTTGTCAACACAGTACTTGCCAGATGCAAGCTGCAACGAGTCAGAGTTGCACAGAGGCTGGCTACTGAACAGCCTGCAATAAGGTCAACGTTAGAAGACAGATTTTTCCTGTTTTTTGCACAACTTTACAGAAGCTCCCCTTTAAGGTCTAAGGTGGAAATTGTTGCACCCAGATAAATACCAAGAATTAATCTACATTTCAAGAAATAATATTCCTTTCACGAGGATTCCCCAGATTAAGGCGTTCAAAGCAACCAGTCTAGTCTGAAACATCAGCCTGGTTTCTCATATTTCCCAGTTCTAACAGGAATATACTAATTCCCATTGTGATTTCTCTTCAGAAACAAGTTCTTATAATTCTCATTTTTCAGTTCCCTCCAGAATTTATCTACAGAAGTCAGAATCCCAGAATTATTGTATCTGTCAAGTTGATGCTCCTTTGAGACCACATGTAAACTACTGCTGTTAACTTGATCACAAGAGACATTCTTTCAGGTTGTTTGCGACCAAGGACTATTTGCAGTGCCGAACCGAACAGTTTAGTCAAAATTAAAATTGAACAAAGCAGAACAATATGCTGCATTGTTTCATTTATTTCCCCTAACTGAGCATACTGGTAATACAATTTAAATACAAAGTTTATGTAAGTAGCACCCAAGAGAAGATCCTGCACAGATACATGATACTAGGAGAAAATCCTGTCATGCTCTGAAACACAATAATGATTATCTTGCTCCCATAAACAGCAAAGTAGAAAGTTCTTCACCCAACAAGGCTGCTACTAAGTGGTTTAGATGTTACAGAGATGACAATTATTGTAATACTTGTCAGCAGATGTTGCCTGACACCTTTGCTACAGAAACTCTTTCCAAATAAAACATTACAGAAAGGACCCTGTCAAAGACCAGAAGCAGATCACAATTATTCCTTGCAATGCAGTCCAATAAATGTGCTAGAGAATAAACAAATGAGCTAGCAAATGAATAAAAGCATTCTGCTAAAGACAAGCCATGATTAAACATTCACTTTCAAATGCTGTCTTTTTTGTCCAAATACTTCACTCTGTCCGTAAGATGTGAAAGGCTTGTTTGGAAGCCAGTTCCCTTCATCAGGAGCAGCTCTAGCACAGTCGTG